GATACCATTCAGTTGTCATACATGTCCTTTATCACTTCAGTGACATGAGTTTGATAACGGCTTGTGAAATTTTCTGCAGTCTAAAGTTTCATGTTGTCTGCACATGTACTTTCTTTGGAAACACAATTTGTTTTGTCGAACTATGGTGAAGATAGTGACTCTGATTGATTCACATATTGTATTGACAAATGACTGTTGACATTGCTTTTCAGTCTCCAATATTTCAGTGGGTCATGCTTTGGAAATGACAGTAAATTTTTATTACCCAACCCTTGAGTTGTTTTGTTTTTCATTTACCCAACCTTTTACTTACTCAAAATTTTGTTTACCCAACCCTTTTCTCTTCGGTGCCACCCCCCACCATAAATAATGACCGGTCCCTAATTTATTTTTTCGTACTTTTCCGTCACCTTTATCCTGTTGACTTTTGCGTGGTGAGTGCTGAAGACGACAGATAGGAAATCGCGCTTATCTAAGGCTGCACATGCGCAGGAAAGCTCTGAGGTTGAGGCCAGTTCTTGCCAGTGAGCTTCGCACGCAGTAAGCCAAGAAACCTTGCAGACGAGGACGGTACGAAGTCGACGTTAATAGACAGATTTAGATCGAGGACGTCAAAGACGACGTGAAAATGGCTTGTTGTGCCCATGTATGGATATATGCCACGCCATTTGACGTCATTTCACGTCGTCTTTGACGTCCGCGTCCTCGATCTAAATCTGTCTAATAAGCATATACGATTGGAACGCGGCGACAAAAGCAAACTCGTTCAAATAAATTATTGTGAAGAAAAGTCGTCGTCTATTGTTCACTGTATGAATTTAATAGAGTTTGAAGAGATTTAAACAAAGGCTACTTGAAATTATTCTTTCGGAAAAACGAATCATAAACATTGGTCATTTTTGGTTCAAAAGCCAATCATAGACTGGTGATGTAGGTCGTGAACGTTTGTTGTAGGTCATTGAACGTTTTCGAAGTTAGGGAAGACGAGAACAAGGCATATGTTACAGAGCCAGACAATTGTAGAGAACAAGGGGACATGGTGAGATCTTTGTGGCGAACAAGGGAACAAAGCCGGACAATTGTAGGGAACAAGGGGACATGGTGAGATCTTTGTGGCGAACAAGGGAACAAAGCCGGACAATTGTAGAGAACAAGGGGACACGTAAGGTCGGGGAACAAGGGACATGATGAGATCTTTGTGGGGAACAAAGCCGGACAATTGTAGAGAACAAGAAAACATGTAAGGTTGGGGAACAAGAGAACATAGTGAGATCTTTGTCGGGAACAAGGCAACAAAAGAAAACGTTACAACTGAACATGAGATCCTCAACTATGTCTGAACAAAGAGATATAAGTCAGAACACTTCCTAATATGACGATGCTTTGGATTGGCTTTAGTGAAACAAAAGTAACGAGTGTTTATGTTCGATCGTTCATTAGAAAGATGATTTATATAGTGTGATTCCTGGTCTTTAGATATTCTAAATAATTGTATAAAGTCAGGGTGTCAATCCTGGCGGGGATAGGGGGACTCGCACTTTTTGACAAGGGTAAATAAATTCATATAATAATTTTCTATAATTGATGTCTATAGACCGGCACTGGAAAGGACTACAGTCCTTGGTTTGAAAACATAGCTTCAAAATACAGGTTACAAAGACAACTGACAGTCACAAAACTATGCGGAAGCTGGATTTCTCGATGGCTGCTCGATCAAAAAGGATGCGTTTTTTTCTGATGAAGGGCCTTTCAAACATGGAGAAGCCAGTACAACTTTTTAAAGCTTTTTTTCTGTTTAAACTGAGTGGCTGGAAGTGGCAAGGAATCTTCCGCATGTAGATGTAAAATCACATTCAAATCGTCTGCACAGCTGGCCCCCCACAGTTTCAAAGAGACATTATTTTCAAGAAGCTATAAATAAAATGTTATTGTCTAGTAGTTTTCAAGTGTGTTTACCAAGGTAATGTAAGCCGCTTTCCTTTCTAAGCGTGTCTCAACGTGTTACAGCAAGTTACATCAATCACTACATAATACTAGCTAGTGCAATATTAATTAACTCAGATCATTTTCGTAAGTGTTAACATCTCTCGACTTTTTTTTGTAATCCATGCTCTAAGTGGCTACGAGCAAGATAAAGAATGACATGACTGGTGTTTCAGGAGGTACATCATCTGAGCTGCAACCACACAATCATAAGATTTATGAAACTGACTACCATCTATAGTCCCGTCTGAAACTCACCAATAACTATTAACTGTATTCAAGCAAATCGTGACAAGATTCTTATAACAACACGAGTTATTCTTACATGGTGGTATTGTGCAACAAGTCTTGTAATTTTTAATTCCGCTTCCTGTGCAAGACAACAACATTCAAAATAGAAAGAAATTGCGAAAATATGCATCTTGAAAATCCACTATAGACAAGCATGGGTGAAAAATAAAGACAAAATGATACATATGGTTATGGCTTTGAAATAAAGTCGAAAGAAACCGTGAGAAACTGCGAAATGGTAGGGATACAACGACCTGTCAACTACATTCATGTGAAACATGTTAAAGAGTAACCAGAACTGATCCGGAAAGACTTTATAACCATGCCGGCTTGTAAAACTGAAAGATTCAAACGTAGTCCGCTGGTGTGTGCAATTAAATGATACAATTATAGTCTAAATTCGTCGATTGTAAGATTTGTTTGTAACTATACATTGCCAGTCATTGGTTATATAGATTATAAGTTGCAAATAGTAGTCATAGTATATATTAACGTATTTAGTATGTAATATTTTTAGAAAATAACGTTTAACTTTCTCAAACTGTAAACACGTTATAATCAAGTTAGCGTGGTTGCTATTGATATGTGGATATAAACACCATTATTATTATTATTATTATTATTATAAATACAAGGAGAACTTCGACGAAGGTGCGTCGTCTGGATTGGAAGTTAGTATTTTGTCTTGAATATCTTAGATTTTCAAGATGCATTATTTTCTGAATTCGCTTTATTTTCTATCTTTTTCGAATTGTCGGCTGAAAAAATTAACTAAACAAACATTTGCATTTCGATTCAATTAAGTTAGGATTATGTGGACTTAAAAAGTTGTTGAGTTATTGCACCGTAGGGTACCATGCGGTATATGGTACATCAACATTCTATTAATACCATGCAAAAATAATACAGTACAAGCCTGCTATCTACTACGCGTTGACGATTGACTTTGACTGTTTCAACTGCGAACTTCAGGCCGTTCATATGATGTTATATGCCAACCCTATTGTGTTTAAGATGTTTGAGGCGAAATCATTATTATTCGTATAATCGTATTAAATTTTTGGACGCTGTCTGGTTCAAAAGATTTATTTGTTGACATAGACAGACAAAAATAATTGTAAACCATTGCAATATCTCGTTGTAACTTTAATAACAGACAGATTTAGAGAAGACGACGAGGCAAACACGACGACACTCTATTTCATCTCAAGATTGAGAGCTAGGAATTTATTACTGTAATAAATTGAAGCTTTTTAATTCAAAATAAAATGACCTTACAAAACGGCGACGTTCGAGAAAAACGATCCGCGGTGTCTGCTAATTAAGAGACAGATTTTATGTAACTCCTCCAACGTCGTAATAAGCGTTCACCTTGCTCCAATGACGTGAAAATCTTCGTTGTATTCAGATTGCCAACGTTGTTGAGTACACCACTGGGGAAAATTTTCAGACATTTTGTTTTGAATTGAAGAATTTCTTTGTCTTGAAGGTGCGTCTAAGCGTCTTCACGTTGTGTTCTCTAAATCAGTCTCATATACCTTCTAAGGCCCACACAGACCGGACGCGATTCGGCAACGCGACTTTTCAGTTTTCAAAAACAAATAAAACCGTCAACGGATAAAACTTTTGCAAGATATGCAGACCAAATACCTAAAATTGCTTAAGTCGGGTTCCGAATATTTGAAAAACATTGAAAAATATTAAAGTTAAATGTCATTGAAAACTGAAAATTCGCGTCGCGTTGCCAAATCGCGTCTGATCTGTATGGGCCTTAAAGGTTGCAGACTGTCAGCCGAAAGCTCGTAAAATTAATAAATATTTTGAAGCAGAAGAAGGCGTTCAACCCTACGAGGATGTAACTCTACACTGTCACTGGATCCCCAGGTTTGTAGGATTAGTAATTTACATTTCATTACAAAATTGCAGTTCCACTCAATGACATGTCAGAAAGCACCAAATGTTCATTTCATTTTTTGCAAAAGAGTTTCTGTATTGTTATAGTGCAGGTCTAATTCACTGCAAATATAAGACGTCAAAATATACTTATCTGTCTTGCACATGATATATCACGTACACAAATAAAGTCGTTTAGCTTTGGTCAGACAGCAAAACACAATCACAGACCAAACTTAGAGGTCGCGACTTGGAAACAATGCAAAGATTCGATGCAGACTCTTCCGTCTAAAAAATTGTAAAAATCACGCGATGTTACTAGCGAAGGGCGTTCATTAGAAAAATTCCTCACAAACCATATTAGTATTTAGTAAGAGCCTCGACCAATATATGTTTGCCAATCTGAAGTTGTTTCAAGAACATTATTCATGCTGGAAGCCTGTTTCAACAATTGCATTTGTAGTGCATGCAATTAAGATGCGACGTGCTTCAAAGTAACTTTATACAAAAGCTGAGACGTGCTGGGACTGTTGCAAGTAGTTAGAGACGGGTGGAGTGGATGGTGGGGTGGTGGAGTAGATGGTCGGGTGGATGGTGGAGTGGATGGTGGGGTGGAGTGGATGGTGGGGTGGAGTGGATGGTGGGGTGGATGGTGGGGTGGATGGTGGGGTGGAAGTGTGGCAGGGGTAGAAAGTAGATGCACTTATTTCCATCGTCGTGATCTCTAAGATAGATCTTATTCTGACAAGTGAGGAGCCTTGTTCAACTGTAATGTAAGAAAAACAGGGAAACTGGAGCAATGAAGAATATATTGTGAGCTGGATATCAGGAATATGACAAGAACTGCGCGCGAGGGCCCCTTGTCTGGAGGTTAGCAGCGCGAATCGGAAAACACATGCACTTTTATAGACCTTTGTACTAGTGAATATGCCCTTGACCGACACGCCATAGAGTTAGTAAGAAAGTGGAGGTAATTATCCTCACTTGCAGCTGAGAGCGAAGCTGAATTGCAAAGGACACAGCTCAACCTGATCCAGTCAGAGTTTTCCAAGGTCGCCTCTGGCTCAGTCAGAGACTAATTCCAACACACCCTGTCAGTATTTCCAGTGGGAGGAAACCGGAGTCCCCGGAGAAAACCCACGACTTTCGCAAGAGCGTTGACTCACTCTTTGCACATGAATGTCTCGTGTCAAATCGCAAGCATCAAAGCAAGAATCAAAGCCATGATCTCAGCGATGAAAGACTCTTGTTCTCATAACTGCACCATCGAAGCCCCCATTGAAGACCAAGGGCGCTTTCGCTCAAATCGTCGAAGGTCATGCAGTTTATGGTTTGTTTGCTTTCTGTGGTATTTTCTATATGTCTTCATTGTCTAGAGACAGCTACAGTGAGAGACTAACTACACCTGGAAAATATCAGCTGAACTTCCTCGTTTCAAACAAAGGTACTTCCGTTGGGACGTTAGGCCCAAGGTTAAATCAGTGTCGCTCTTTTCATGTGTCCAACGTGATGCATTTCGATACGACACCAGAGCGACGTTAGCTAGAGCGGTATCAAATCAAACGTCGTACATAATATGTCGCTCCCAATGTAAATCATGGATTAACATAAATATATAAAATACATGAAAATAAATGACATGTAACTAAGGTTAAAATAATTGATGCATTAGGAATTCGGCGTACGGGAAGAGCGACGTTTGAATCGCTCCAGAGTCACACAGTGCGACAAGATCTGTAGGCTTCAAATACGTCTGTCGCACCTAATCCATTCTCTCGACGAGTATACGAGCATAGATAGTGAGAATATGAGCAGAAAGCTGCAGAGTGAGAGGGATTGGACTGCCTGAAAATACAAGGAAAACGGCGACGTTTCGAGCGAAGACGCTTCGTTGGGAAAGGTGGAAGTTTTACTTGTATATTTCGGGGTGGTTGAAACTCTCTTAATCTGCTGCTATCTGGCGATATATGTGGTTATATAACGTCACAAGGCACAACACTTATGGGCAATATTTCTGAGCAAAAAACGATATTCTTTGGGCAGAAACGTATTCTTTGTGTTGGCCTGCAAGAGTCTCATTGATACGATCCTCAAAGACGATTGCTTTTAACTAGAAATCAGTTTTGCTAGGGGTAAGGAAGCGTGCATTATGCTCGAGCGATCTGTATGTAGTGACAATAACACGAGAAGGAAGGGAGGCCAAGGGTCCTCGCTCGAGAGGTCCAGGTTTTACTTGTTTCATGGGTAGATGATCCCTCTCAATTTACAGTTTTCTATATGTGCATAAAACCAGTTAATGAAAATGTAATTTTGTACCTTAACTGATCATGATCACTACGATGAACGCTTTCTTTTTTATATGCGGTCATTATTTTAAAACGTTGCAGAAATTTGAGTTTTTCTGAAGTGTTTCTCAGTCACAGTCAGGTTTTTCCACCGTGGGTTATGGAAAAGGATTTCTTTACTATTGGGGATGGTTTTAAACTTTATGTTTGCCTAATATTTGTAATTCATGATATTGTGTTTTAACTTTACAACAAGACCTTTTTTGAATGGTGCCAAAAATCCTCCCGGTCACACTTGATCAAAAATGTTTTAAAAAAATACTCTATTAGAGTCTTCTAAGAGTTTTGCCACAGATACAAGTAATGGCTATATATTTAGACTGACAAAGATCACTTATAATGTTTAAAGCAATGGCCATTAATCGTTCCAACATGCATGGCCATGAATGAACTATGACTATGTACACACGGCATTCTCAAAGATTTAAATGATGGACATTTAATTGCTTTTTAAACAACTGCACTTTCAAATTTTGAGGACATCATTAATTAAAACAAAAGTATGAACGTCATATATGTTTGCTATAAGGGCCGTGAAAAAATATTTGCTTTGAAGTAAATTGGTCTTCAGGAAAATCCATATTAGTAATGCGCCTTGGACTTGATTTAGTTACTAGGCAAACCGACAAAAAGGCAAACAGAACTTCTCTCTTTCGAGATAAAGACCTTGAATACCGTAGCCCAATTCTGGAATAAATCCAGTTCTCTTCATATTTCAGAAAATGTCAGTTTAACTTGCAATAAATATAATGCACATAAAATGCAATACAAAATATATTAGTGGTTTCTTCTTTTTTTTATGAACAATTACAAATAGTTGTATGGAAGAGTTACTGTTTGGGACAGAGAAATGCACTGACATATATTGAAATATTGTGCATATTATAATTATACAAGCAGTAACATATATTCACAAACAAGAATGAAAAACATTGTGTTTCCAGGCTAAGCATGGAAATATAAGCATGTAATATATCTAGAAATGCAGAATTACTTCCAAACAGCTTAACCTGCTACATTTTGTTACATTACTTGTTCTAATTATTGCATTAGAACGTTCTGCATGAGTTCTAATTGGTTGCATGTCAGTTTGGCGCTGTATCTTGTGGCACTTGAGCAAAAATGAGCTCTAATTTTATGTGGCGCCAAAATCGCGACCGCCCAGGTTGTGTTTACGTTGCATCCGCTCTTGTTTTCTTTGTTAGATGAAGAAATATTTAATAATGCATGATTATGTTTCCTGCTCGTTGTTGCTTCCAGCACCTTATTGCATGCATGCTGCGTGACTTTCGCGGAGGTCAAGCAGTGTTATAAAAGCGAGGGTGCCTAGAGGGTAGAGCATACCTTGCTGGTGCAGTTCAAGTGTTCTCCAGTTTTGACGAAGAAGCGTTGATCTTAGTTCAGTCCAAGAACAAAAGAAACTTGTTAAGGTATGATGATACTAAAATCAATTCAATAAATCGAAATGTATGAAAAGAGCTTTGCACGAGATTTCATTCCAAAGCCAAATACACTAGATATTCTTAGCTCAAAGTAAAGCGGTAAAAGGGGTTGAATATCTCACAGGTCAGGTGAAATATTGGCACCACCAGAGAAGGAAAATTAACGTAGATCGCATGTATGATTTTCAAACAATTATGCTATCGAATATCCCTAAGCAGAGATGAGCTAAGCTAAGAAGCTATCGAATATCCCTATGCAGAGATGAAAACTAGATTGCAGGTATTCAAGCAAGTTAAGTTATATGCGAGCTGAACCGAAACGCACAAAACATATAAAATTTTATACTACAAGTTTCCATCGCAAAAGAAGTGAAGCCATTGGAACTGTTCTCACAAAAGGGTTCTATTCAAGGAAGATTAATTGTTGTTAGGTCTTTAATTCATTCGGTTTATGCTTTCTTTAGATCAGTTATGATTTACAACGAATTACCAGCTACTTTATACTATAAAGTCATATACCACTGCTGAGTTGTTTAAATACATAAATACTGCAGCTGAAAATACAACTGAAAATTGAAAATGAATTGATCGAGGCTGGTGCTTGTTGAATATAGTTTGATAATGCTGGAACCTCTTCGTATACAATCTTAAACACACCAGGTGTGTCTAAGAAGATTGTATACAATGACCACTCACATCGAATGTTCATTTAAGCTGAAGCATGCTAGAACTGAAAGAAACTAACTCAACTGCAACTTCTATACTACCAGAATTTATATTTAACTCTAACATTATAGATGTATCTGATCATTGGTCCTTATTGCTTTTTAAAGAATCGCTTGCCATTCGACATTTTAAACCTGAACTCGCGAATGTGATTCACCTTATTATTATCTGTCCATTTTATAATCATACCAACCACACCTTTCACCCCCCTTGCAAGCTTTACTCAAGATTCAGGATTAATTTTTTTCACTTTCACAAGATTCAAGATTTATTTATTTTAAGTATGGCACCAAGCTAATAATATTACGAGTTTTCATCTTTGTAACGGCTTAACACCTACTTCGCCATGTCTAGTTCTTGCTTATACAAGCACCTGTCAAAGAATGAAATGATTTGCCTATGACCCTGAAGATTGACTATTTCAATGAACAAATTTAAACGAGAATGGCCTTAACTCTTATTTACGTAGCATTGAATATAGCTCTTAGATACTTTACTGACAAATTTTAGCTCTTAGTTTGAGGTTCTCTCAGGGGTTGTTACTGGGAACAAGGAACTAACAAAGCATATTTTGCAATGGGATCAATGGGGACAAAGTCGAAAATCACAGGGAACATTTAAGCTTGCATGGGGACACGGGGACATGATGAAATCGTTTTTGAGAACAAGGAAACAAAGGAAAAGTTTTCAAGTAAACAAGGGAACACAAACGCCTCTGAGAGACCCTTAGTCTTAATTAATTCAGTTTTTATCCTACACACAGATTGTGTAGAACTTATTATTGACCAAGGTAACCCTGTAATGAGATATATTTTCCCTGTTTGAGGTTCTCCTCAGTATTAATCTTCTATTTATACTGGGAATTATTAAGGAGTCAGATTAAAAAGATATTGTAAATAAAAACTGTAATTAACATATATACTTGCCCGCACAAGTCAAGTAAATATTTGCGTTCATAAAATAAACACTCTTTCTAATGGTAGGGAAAATATTTTAATATGCAATTAAGGCGGCAGAAAATATTCTAATCTGCAATTAAGGCTGCAGAAATATTCTAATCTGCAATAAAGCCAGTGGAACCAGCAAACATTGTCCAAAAATGGCACATTTTTCCAAAGCTACAGACACAGGGAGTGGGAACAATATCGAGAAGTATGTTGGGTCCAATATCACCATAGACCTTCATCACGCTTTTTGAATCCATCTAAAACTTCATGTTAGCATTCTGGAAATACGAGAAATGAAAAGAGCAGGTCAAAGTTAGCAAGGACAGAAAAATTGTTGGCGTGAGTTTGAAAACTGTGGCGTTATTTTTAAAAACATATTTTAATTAAAATATATTGGGGTTTGCATTGGATCGAGGCTTGATGGCATACAGCCCGTTTAATACAAAACATCCATGCATTTCCTATTAAATTGTCTGTTTTTAAAAACGATGCTAGTGCCACAGTTTTCAAAATATAGTCACCGGATTTTGTGTTCTTACTAATATTCACCTGCTGTTCTCATGTTTGACAATTATAGTGGTATTTTTTGTGTGTGTTGGTGTAATGTACTCAGGTGAATATGATGTTTGTGATGTTACTCTGAGTGTGTATCCACACCGGGCAAGCTGAATGCGTGGCATGGCCACGGTGGGAATCACAAACATTTATAGTGCATGTTTCCTCAAAACACGGGAAAAGTCTATTACGGGAAGACTTTGTTGTTCTTAAAAAAACACGTATATGTCATACAATATAATATGTGTTGCAATATAACTCATTACTGTAGCTTTGTGGGTTATGATAATCTCATGGGTGAAACACTTAGAATACAAAGAAACTTACGTAATACACTTTTGTGAAAACCTAGGAAACACTGTTTTACACTCTAATATGAGAATTACATTTGTATTTACTATTGAGTGCATTAATTACATTGTAAAAATAAGAAGTCATGCAGATATCATAATTGTTTAACAGCTAGTGCCGAGGTATGTTCTGACCCACCCTGTCAAGATTCCTTGTGGGAAGAACCGGAGTATATACTTGGAGAAAACCCACGATCATGAGTCAACTTCTACGACTATTGCTCCTTTATCCTTGATATTAGATCGTTCTATGACGGTGTGTCAGTTTCATTCAGCCTGTCGACATTTTCTGTGGGAAGAAATGGGAGTAGTAGCTCGATCAAAACCCACAACATGGCCGAACGTCATTCTACTACCCACCCTGTAAAACATTCCCTGGGGAAGGAAACCAGAGTACTTGGAAAAAACCCACGACTTTCGTCAGAGCCACGGATCGCAGAAGTGAAAAAAGCTTGCTCGGATGACAACAGCGCCAGCCAAACCCTTTGGTACTCTATCTTAACCTTGATAAACCTTCTATGTAGCATGATTTTTCCTCTATTACTTTTAGATTAATAGACTATCCCAAACATTCTATCACAAGCATGCATGCATCGTTGGGATTGGGATTGGCACACGTTAACAAAGACGCTGGCAACTTTTTGGAACTTTGGCTGGACTTTGTATAATTTGTCACGAAAATGTATATGCATAAAAAGACTGTTTATTACTGCAAGAAATAGTTCCTATACCCTAGACGTAATACGTACTTTGCACACTTTACGAAAACAATAAAGAAATTCCTGCACAAACAAAATTTTCTTTATCATTTTAACTCAAATAGTTTCTAAACCGATGATTTGGAAACACACAAAACGTAACGGCAGATACAGGAGTGTCAACGCTTCCTATGCGAACATTAATTTTATATATATAGCTAATGGCCTACAAAAACACTTCCCTAATGAGAAGATATAAGAGGACACTTGATAGTCAAATGGTTATATGGTTAGAGAGCATTTGCAGTTAATGGTTATGGTGTAAAGTCCTACAGTGTATTTAGCAAGGCATACTGAAATAGTTAAATGGCAATAGAGGGCATTTTCAGCTAATGATTATCTAGTAAACTGTAAGGCATTTGGAATTGTTCTGTACTTCAATATTTATTTAGGTACTTGTAAGTTTGCAGTCACGCGACCTTAGTCAGCTGTTCTTAATGCTTTTCCAACACTATCATGTATTCTATTGAAGTTAAAACATAGTTGGAACATTCATCAAACCTTTATTTTGTTAATCTAGAGCTTGAAATGTCCCCTGTAACAATGCGTGACTACCAACACTCAGCAACTCTCAACCTCGTTTAAGTGGGGCTTTATAGTAGTTGAAGCAACTATACAGTATAGCAAAAGGGTATTTCAGTTAATGGTTCTATCTACTATAAAGCATTTAGCTGTAGGAGGAGAAAGTAACAATAGGACA